TCTTGGAATTCCAATACCAACAAATATAAAACTAATATAGAATGAAAGATTGTATTGGCCGACATGCAAATTTCATATTTATTCATCTTACAGTATATACTAGAGATGGGCACCATGCGCATGATTTGATAGTTTTTGAATAACTACCTAATATTATCACCCTAGAAAAGTTTATTAACCAATCAAAATTCATTATTGAGTATAATATAAAAAGAAAAAATTAAATTAAAACATTAAATTTATTTATAAGGTAGCTGCATAATATAGTTGTGCTAATACCAGAAATGAGTAACCAATAAGTTCTAGTATATTCTAAGTTCTAATTATTAAATTAATAAACTATACTTATTAATATGATTTTATAATCATATATGCTAAAGTTGTTATATCTATCTAAACTAATTTTAAGATTTATTAAAAGCTGCTTTCAAAATTTGCAGAATTTTTTCAGCCAATTCAATTATATTATTAAATATACAATTGTATCAATTTTAATAAGTAACTTAAGAAGTAATTGATTAATTAAATAAATTGGTACAATTATTGCGGTTTGCAAAAAAAATGTGAAATTTAAAAATCAAAAAAAAAAGTAATCGATAATTTCTGATTCTGATTGCCGATTTTTTTATTATTTTTTTGCAGAAATAAAATTTGTAAATTCATAATTTTGTAACATATTGTGATTAAACATCTTTCGTAGGAATATATTTTGCATACTCTTCATGTTGTAAAGAACTTGATTGTGCAATATTAAATTTTGCTTCTTTTCTAGCCTGATAAAATTTACTATTGCATGATAAGCAAGAAGAAAATTTAAAAGCTGTACCAAATTCAATCTTATAAAGATTATTACATGATATTGCTAAGGAACTTTAGTATAACTTATATTTTCATTACAATAAATTTTAGAAGTTGATAAAAAAGACATTTGTGCATCCAAAAAATATTTTGGGATAATAATTTTAGTCATTAGAAATGAATTTTTTTTTAAAAAATATATACCAAATAAATATATATAAGATTTTATATGGTATAATATTAGTTGATATGCAATTCTTAAATATGTGCCAGGTTGGTGGCATATTAATTATCCACAATGATTATTTTTATTTCAGTATGTACAATATGTTTGTAAAATTTATTTTTGATTGAAAACTTCCACTATGTGATTTTTTAACTGTCCTGTACTTTGAATGTTTTCTATTTTTTCTGATATGAATTGAAGAACATGGAATATATTTGATTCTCTCTATACAGAATTATTATAATTTTTAAATTTTTAGTTCGTTCATTATAAAAAGGCTCATTATAAAGAGGTTGACTATACTTAAAAAGTTTAAAAAATTTAGATTTAAAAGTAAAACCTCTTTAAGAATAGAACACTACAATTATTCTTTTTTAAATTATATTTTAGCATAGATTATAAGAAAAGTGTTTTTTTTATTAAAAAAGTTTTTTTATAAACTATATAGTACGTATTTATTAGATATTTATTATCATAATTTAAGGTCAATATTTTTTTTATACTGTATTATTAAATTTGACAAGTTGTCATTATTTTGGGCAATAAAAAATTTTGAAAATTATAAGTTAATAGACATTATAAATATAAAAAAATACAAATATTTTTGAATTCAGACCAATAATATTAGAAACCTAAAATATGAAAAAAATAAAGGTAGACAAAGAATAACAACATTTGATTTGAGTAAAATAACGTTAAAAAATGGCGGCTTCGTTCTATTAAAATATAATTTTATTGTTGTTATTAGAATTTTTTAATTGGCGTAAACTATTTGGACTGATTAATGCGCTACCAACCTGGCACACATTCAAGAATTGTAGTTGATATACATACGCTATTAGAAGTAATGTTAAAAAAATCAGCAATCGGAATTCAGAAATTATCGATTTCTTTTTTTTTTTAATCTGCAAATTTCACATTTTTTTGCAAACCGCAATAAGATTATTTCACATATTTCTGTATATCAATATTAATTAAAAAATTATTATACCTATTGGCTAAATTAATAAAAGACTTTTTATTAATAAATTAGCACAGATAATAAAAATTATCTAGCAAACTCATATAACCATAAAAAAATTTCTTTTTGTTATTTTTTTCATGTATTACGATGTAATTATGTTTATTCCAATATTTAAAATAAAACTCAGCAAGTGACTTCTAAACAATCATAATCATAAATTGCTAGATAACAACATTATTGGGCAAAAATTGTCAAATATAGTAATTTGAAAATAATTGGCTGCACATGCCGCTTTGCGGCATGTGCTCATTTGCCAAATTACCGTTATTCGACAATTTTTGCCCAATAATGTATACTTAATAAGAGGCATGTATATACATATATTGTTTTCAGATCTTCAATTATAAAATGAGACCTTTGCTAGAAAAATCATCCTTCAAGATTTTTCGATTTGGCAAATTCAGACAAACTTAAACCAGAATATCAGTTCTTATTTATATATAAATCAGCCTTTACTTTATTAATTCTATAGTATATTAAATAAACTATGTAATTAATAATATAAAGGCTGAGTTAGGGTCCTGTAGCCTAGTGGTCTAGGCGCCTAATCCTTCATAGACAAGGTCGATGGTTTAATTACAGCTAGTGGTAATTAATTTAATTAATTATCTCTGTAACTTTTGGGGGCTTTTGAATGCAGAACCCTGTGGTGGTAAGACCATGTAAAGTATATATTTGGCCAATAAAGAATTCTTGAAAGAAGTCCCAAGCTATGGAGAAGATTGGGCACTATGTGTGACATGAGTCACAGAAGGTATTACTACAGAAGGCTGTGCATGTGAATCCACGATTGGCAAAGTAGCACCAACAACCTAAGGCAGCATTGGGGTCTTGATTGGGAGGATGGCTATATGCAATATATCTAGAAGTGGTGAAAGAAGCGGTGAACATAGTAAGGGGCTGTAGTAAAAGAATGGCTTTACCAAATATAGAACACCTCTAGCGCAATAAAGAAACAAAGAAAACTGGTTAAAAGAAACCCCGAAAAGCATGGAAGCAAGCACCCTGGTAGTACGAATATAAAGACAGCTAGTGAGTATAGTCACACAACCTATATGGGAGTCTATAATGAAACACAGCAGAAGCGTGGGTCTCAGGTTACTGCTTTGTGGCAGTAATTAAATGAGGTTCTTAACTCCCGTTCTAAGGATCTAGACTTCTGTATCACAATACCGATAGGGAGTACTTAAAAAGGGGTAGTAGCCTAATTAAGTGATGTACGACGTTAATACCTGGATCCATGTGAACAGCTCTCCTAATGGCGGCAACAGGTGGCTTGAGATACGGGTCTTCGGATAGCAGCAGCACCTGGCTTGAGATACGAATTAGGCTCTGAAGTAATATACTTAAGGAATACCAAACTGGAAGCAAAAAGAGCGCCCACTTCTAGGACACCAATTTGGAAGTTATACAAGATACGAATTAGGAGTAATGTGATAAGTGATGAGGGGTGGATTATAATTGGTGGATGTTGTATAGTAGTATATATAGTGGGATGTATATAAATTAAATAGGTGAGCATGGCCTATTGTTGATCCGAAGGAAAACCCTCTAGTAAGTTAGAAGCCAAAGAGAAGGTAAATCTGTGGCTAGACGGTTACACTTAGGCATCTTAGAGCAGCTGAGTGAGCTTTGTTACTGAGTCGGTGGGGGTATAGTTTTTAGAAGTTTCTGTACTGATAAAACCTTGTACATCTCGATAAAAAGAGACACTTAACTACTGAAGTTAATAAAGCAGGTACCATTTAAAAAAATAAAAATAAAAATAATGTAAAGGCTGAATTATATATAAATAAAAACTAATATTTTGGTCTAAGTTTGTCTGAATTTGCCCGATTGGAAAATCTTGAAGGGTGATTTTCCTAGCAAAGATTCCAAATTTCTGTAATTGGTTTTTCAAAACCTAAATACACAAGCCAGGTCAAGCCAATAAACATCTTTGGTATTAAATATAGATGCTAATAGCTTATTTGCTATTTATAATTTCTGTAATTGGCTTTTTAAAACCTAAATATACATACAAGTCAATAAATATCTTTAGTAATAAATATAAATAAAAAGCCTCATTCGACGAGTTAAATATCTAAATTATAGAGATAATTTTATTATTTTTATTGATAGCTTTATTTAGACCAAAATTTTACTAGTAATTTTTTAGCGAAAGAAGTAGGAATTCACTATTATTATAAAGTTTCATCAATTCAGTTTTTTTTAGCGAGATCCTTTGGGAATTTTTTTAGCACTAAGGTTTTGTCATTTTGAATTTGGATTTTGTTTTTTGTTAGCAGAATTTAAGGTTTCGTCATTTTGGGGCTTAGGTTTCATCTTTCATACCAAGCAAAAAAGGTTTTATTTAACAACTATAGTATTGAATAAATATGTATTTCAAACAACACTCGATATTCCAAACAATTTATTTGTGAGTAATATATGATAGAAGAATGTTGTATAATTATATAACTTGAAAAGTTATCTAGATAATTAATATATATTTAAAAAACAAAATTTTAAATTTTGATTTCATCGGCTCTAATTAGACTACTATACACAGGTCGAATAAAAGCAAATCAAACTTCAATTAGCATCACATAATCTCGGTATGAACTTGATTTGTAACAGATATTTGCAAATATATATTTCAAATCCAGAATTGCATAATACCAGTTGAAGCCTGATTTGCCTTCATTTGGGCCATTATTTTTCTGGGCTTATTATACTATATTCCTGTTAAATTAGTCAAGTAATAATTATTTGAAGAATACCTGATAAAATTGTATGACTAAATTCTTCTATATTGAAATGAGTTTAATTTTTGTACAAATTTAGCTTTACAAATATTTGTCTTGATTGTCTTTATATAAGCAGAGTTATTATATTAGTATCTAATTGAATTTTTTTTAAAAATAAAAATTTTTAATCAAAAATTTAGAATATAAACTTTAAAAAAAAAAAATGCCAGATCCAATCTGGGTTCATTTTACTCAACTAGAACATATAATTAGATTTAAACAAAAAAGAAGAGAGTGTAATTATTGTCAACAACAGATTAATAATGCTCTTAGAGCAGCATATATATATTTTCGAAACTGTGAAGTAGCTCCATTAGAAGAAAAAAAAAATTATTTTGGTAATTCTAATTAAGAAGAAAATAGTAATAATATATCTACTTCTACTGCAGCAGCACTAGCATCTACATCTACTGTAGTTGCATTTTTATCTTTACTTGCTTCCTTAGTTACAACAACGTCATCTGTATCTAATAATAAAGTCTTTTTTAAAAATATAAGCAGATCCCAAATTACAAATTATATTATATCAGATCATATTTCTAAAGAAGAACAAAGATTGCTTGAATTAGAATTTGCACGATCAACATTTTAATGTGGTTTATTTTTATCTTTATCTGAAATGGATTCAATTAAAAGATTATGGAAACAAGCACAGCTAGTATTTAGTTTACCTAGTAAAAAAAAGCTGTTAACAATTTTATTAAATAATATCTATAATGAAACTAAAAAAAATATTAAAGCCTTAATTAATAATAGTAAAAACTTGTGCCTTGTATCAGATGGATGGTCTAATCTATTTCAAGAACATTAGACTAACTTTATTCTAACAACACCTAAACCAGTGTTTTATACAGCACATCCAACTAATAAAATATGTCAAAATAGTAAGGCAATTGCCCAGGATTTAGAAAAAATAATAATTGAAGTAGGTATATCAAAAATTTTAGCTATTATTACAGATAATGCCTCTGTAATGAAAAAGGTATGGAGTTTGTTAAAAGTAGATTATCCAGAAATATTGTTTTTAGGTTGTGTTGCACATAATTTAAACCTTTTAATTGGTGATATAATAAAATTATCATGGAGTGCAAATATATTTAAAAAAGCAAAAACAATAGTTAAATACTTTCAACGACATCAAATTCCAAAAGCTATATTAAAACATCATCAATTAGCTTCATATAGTCAACAAATTTCTCTTAAATATCCTGTTAGAACTCGATGGGGATTATCAGCAACTTGTCTTAATTCACTTATTCAAAACCAACTTGCTCTTAAACTAACTATAACTGAGTTAGCTCATGATAATCATATTATATTACCTAATACTATTTATGACACTATAAATAATGAAAATTTTTGAAAAGATGTTAAATTTTTACTAACTATATTAGATAAATTAGTTGCAGGTATTGCTACTTTTGAGTCTGATATACCAAAATTAGCATTATTTTATAATTGGTACCATGAACAATTAGAATCTAATAATAAATAATTTTAATATATTTATATTTATACTGTAATATACTGTAATTATTTATTTTATTTATTTATTTGTTTTATTTTAGATTATATTTTTTTTGCTGTAGGCTCTAGAATTAAAACTTTGTTAGAAAACCGGTAAAAAAAATATATTAACCTGTAATGTCAGTAGCATACCTTTTAGATCCATAATACTATGGAAAAAAATTTTTAGCCAATAGTATATCAACTATTTCAACATTTATTCAAAAATATTATCTAAATAAAGCAAATATTATTTGGTGACAATTACTTCAATATAAAACTCGAACTGGTGTGTTTAATTTGAATTTAGCCTGGAATGCAGTAGATGAAGTAGATCCAATTGCTTGGTGGGAAGAAAATTTTAAGTAATTAGCATTTGAATTATGCAATGTTGTATTTAGAATTCTTAATATCCCAACATCATTAGCTGCTACTGAGCAAAATTGGTCAAATTTTTTCTATATTTATAATAAAAAAAGAAGCCGATTAACACCACAACGAGTACTAAAATTTGTGTATATTTATAGCAATTATTAGTGTTCCGCACGGATCGGTTCTGGGCGGGTTTTATTAAGATCCGTACCTGTACTATTACGTGAAGTCAGGTCCTTATATAGACCCGAAACTGTATTATACTAAACCCAGAACCGAACCAGATACTAATATAGGTTAAAAGTTTTTCAGTTGCAGATTCGCATCCTTTAACAAGCCATAGTAGTATATTATTGCTTTTTTTAGCTTCTTCAAGCACTTTAAGTAATTTATAATAAAAGGAACAGTTATTGATAATGTCAGATATTCAGAAAATGACATTACAATTGTTGCTTCTTTAAATGGTTGTAAAATTTTAACAAGCTGATTTAATTTATTCCATTCGGATTTAGTAAGAAAATGCTTATGCAAATCGTCTTCAGCAAGAACAATAGTATCTAACACATTTTGCAACTTCAATGCTCGTTCAACCATTTCACAGGTAGAATTCCACCTGGTAGTTACGTCAAGAATCGGTTTTAATTGGGGTATATTATATATTTGACATGTCATTTTTAACTTCTTGTGAAGTGTTTGTGAGCCTCTTACACTTTTAATTAATCCACATAGTTTTTCTAATTCATCTCCTGTATATTTAAGCATGCTTTGTATAGCAATAGTCAAAATATGACCAAAACATCGAATAGACTGCTGCATGTAGTCAAATTGAAACCTATCTTGCGCAACAGAATTTGAAAATTCAGATAAAAACTTAATATTTGAAGCTGCATTGTCATGCGTCACTGCTACTAATTTTGAAAGAATTCCCATTGATCGAATACAGTTTTCAAATGCATTAGCAATTACTGCACCTGTATGGGGTCCATCTATATTAATGAAGTCTAACAATAGGTGTTTCATATTCCATGACTTATCCAGATAATGAATTGTAATTGTCATGAATGATTTTTCATATGTACTCATTGTCCAAATGTCTATTGTTGTTGCTATACCTCCTACAATTTCTTGTAGTTTTTTATAAAGTGTTTCACATTTCTTTTCAAAAACATTCATTATATACCGCTTAATTAAATTAGCGAAGGGCACTAAATAATATTTTTTTAAATTAATATTATTTTATAATTATGATACATTCATATTTGGGTAATACCAAATAAAAATAAAATCTTGACTATATAGTTAAGACTCTATTTTCATTTGTATTGCTTGTAATATATATACCTTTTGCTTGTGGTTCTAAATACATTATAATTGATCTAAGACTATCATCCTCAACTAAGTTAAATGGTCGATTATGTGTAATTATCTATCGCTTAACCATATCATTAAGTTTATTTTGATCAATTTCTTCACGATTTTGTTGACCTTTTAACATATTTAAGACAGAGATAGAAGACTTTTTATCATTAAGTTCCGGCACTTTATGTTTGTAAGTGCGAAGCTTGAGATGTTTTATTAGACTTGATGTTGATCTATCAACATATTTCAACGATTTTTTACAGATATCACATCTGGCAGAGGCTCCCTCTTTTTTAAAGTAATGCCACACAAATAATTCTTCATTTGTAGTAGCTGATAATACAGATGTCAATTCACTTGATCCGCTAGTTCTAACTTCATTTAAGCAAGTCGCTTCACTACTTTCAATTGATGGTATAAAAGAGATCGACCTTACAAAAGCTTAAAAAAAAAAGTTAAAAAAAATTTTTTTTGAAATTTTTTATTAAATATGATGCTCTACCTACCATTATCCATAGTAAAAGATCCAATAATGTACAAAGTAAAACTCATACAAATACCAGCTGTAGATTATTTCTAGGCTCTTTTTTTTATTTTATTTTATTTATTTATTTTTTTTATATAAATATTTATTAATAAGGTCTTGTCTACACTCATCTATCTCACACAGCTAATTCACAGTATAAAGGTTTATATAAAACACCAGTTATCTAGGCGTTCTCTAAGGCCCTTTTAAAAATCGCAAGATTTTATTAGTAAGACTTTGTCTACATTACTAATACTATAGCGTTTAATTCATGAACTAAAATTTGCACACAATACCAGCTTCAGGTGTAAAGGTTTTCTTCAGGCTTTTTCAGAGTTGTAGTCAACTCCAAAGACTTGACAATTTTCAGTTCATGTCTTCAGATTTTTTTTTTCCAAAATAATTAAATTGGTATATCATACAGAATATATAAGAAACTTGAGATCTTAATCACTTGATATCTAACATTCTATTGGCCAAAGATCAGGTGATTAACATATGCGGGTCCATCGGGTATCCACCTACTAAGACCCGAAATTGATCAAATCTAAAAATTATAGACCCGGAACCGAACCATAGCCCGGTTCCGGTTCGGGTTCAGGTATTCGGTTCTATTTTGTAGAACACTAGCAATTATAAACCTACACGTCCAAAATTAGAATCTTTAGATTTAACAGAGGCAGTATTACGTTTTAATAGTAGACCCAATGACGAAATTAATAAATTTGAATTATTAGATCCTGATAGTGATGAATATGAGGAATCAGTAGAAAGTAATAATGAGAATGAACTAGTAGAATTATCTGAATTAGAAATAGATTTATAACTGAAAGTGATATAGATGAAAGTGAATAAATAAATACTGCAGTAATTGAAAGGCTTACAAAAAAGATAAAATAAAAATATGTATACCATATTTTATTATAGTTAGAGCGTATAATAAAATTAAAGCTAAAATAAACATTATCAAAATATAAAGTATTTAGATTTAATCTATTAAAATAGTGAAATTAGAGAATGAAAAAATAATCATAAAATATTCATTATTAGTTTACTAAAATATAAAATATAAAATATAAAATATTGGAGTGGAAAAAAATATGCATTAACATTCATTAATCAAGATTAAGGTTAAAAAAAATAAATGTAAAGTATTGCTTATTGTTAAGATAAAAAGCATTAAAGTTGGCAAAACAAATATAAAACATTTACTATTAAGCTGGGAATTAAAGTTTAAAAATAAATATAAGGAATTTATAAATACAATATAATTAGTCAAAAAAATAAAAAAATAAATAAAATAAAAAAAAATAAAAAAAAACATTTGTTAAAATGTATTAGGGTCTAAAGGTAAACAAAAGGTGAAAATGCTAGTTAGAATTAGTCAAAAGAATAAATGTAAAGCATTTATTACTATCAAAATGTGATAAGAACATGCAGAACAATAAATACTTTACACTCATTATATATGAGCTTCATAAAAGTTTTTGACAATATAAAATTTTATAAATTTAGATGCATAAATTTTGGTTATCTAAACTCGATAATTCTTAAAGAAAGTAAATTTGCTATTAATTTTTAGAAATTAGTACTATATAAAATTTTTATTAACTATAGTTGTTTGATTTGTCATAACTTAGGCCATTCTCAAGCATCTTACTCAATGGATCGGATGTAAATTTTTAATTAGTCGGAAATTAAATAAATCAATCAAGTGAGTTACCAATTCAATTAACAAATCAACAAAATCTTTTTTTTCCAAAAATTTACCATTGATAAAGATCGCTCAAACACTACTTTTACATTTTAGCATATCAAACATAATAAACAATGAAGTCACAACAAATTTCAAACTGGTCTAAAAAAATAGCCACTTTATTTTTAATGCTCGAAGCTTTTAAAACAAATAATCGACACCTTGATATGAATATAATTAATACAACCCATCTTTTAACATTTAACCAAACCATAATGATTTTATTTTTCGCTCATATAATCTTAGTAAATTTTTTTTTACTTCTTGTTGCTGCAAAGCAACTTTCGCTAATGATTCTATAAGTTGCTATTGTTGCTGCAAAATGTTAAATCATTAAAAGGAGAAGCCAACATAACCAAAGCTGAAGATTCGGCAGTCAGTTGAACAGAAGTTTTTTTATTGGATTTTTTTAGATGTTTTAGGCGGCATAACGAAGATCAAGAAAAATAGAAAAAGAGTATGCTCAAGCATTTAATTCTATAAATATTGCTATTTATTGTAATTCTTGAGCATCATCACGATCATTCTTTAATCAATTGATTTAGATGCTTGAGAATGGCCTTAACCAAGAATTATGATATATGACTAATATATACGTGTATTGCAATAGACTAAATATTGACATGTATACTTGCCACACTTGTAAGTCGTAAAATTTCAATCATATTCTTTAGCATGATCCATTTTTGCTTAAATAAACCCTTTACTCATTTCTAATTATTTTTCAATGAAAATTTGGGTTTAAAAAATTGTTTGTTATATAAGATCAAATTATTTTTTGACAAAATTTGATTTTTAAAAAATATGTAAAATTTCAATTCCTATTTTTTGGCAAAATCCATTTCATTCTTTAATTATTTTTCAACAAAAATTTGGGTTTAAAAAAATTGTATAAAATTACAATTCCAATTATCCATTTTTATTCAAATAAAGAAAAATGAATTTATGTTTAGAAGTAGAATCAGGTAAGAATTTATGTAAATAGAAGCATTCGTTAAGCCAATAAAAGAAATTATATCTCTCTATTATTATAGTAAAAGAAGGAGTTTATCTCAGTGTACACCACAAGAGAAGTTTAAACCAGGCCAATAATCAACATTGGATCCTTACTCCAGAAGGACACATCGCTTTAAATAATAATCCCAAGTTCGTAATTGAAGTTCTCTATAAAGGAGTAACTGTATAAAATGGATTACATCTTATTCTAGTAAATACTAAGTCAAAAAATTTCAAAGATAGTTCTAACTCCAAATTTGTTATTATTTGTGAGAAATATTTAGATAAGATACAAATATAAATTAATCTACCTAAATGCTTGAGATTTTTTATAACTTTTTCAATGATTATGCCACTAGATGGCACATTTATCAGTGTAATTAAATTAGAATTAGTAAGTGCTAAGGACATTAGTATCAATCCTTCCGTTAAAGGTAGTATATTATGCGATTTATACATTACTGTTATATTAACAATTGAAGGTTGATAATTATGTTGATATCGTTTTAACCGCTCAAGGAAGCCTTATGTTCGAGTTTTTGATGATGATAAAGAAACTGTTGCTCAGACTGATTTCATTGATAATGATTTAAATCTGATTTGGAATGAAATTCATTACCTTCTGGTTAAGAATATCGGCAATAAATTCTTTTTAAATATAATGAATTATAATGCGAAAGATAAATCACTTGGAAATTGTCATTTTGAGGTTACTAGAGATCTAATAAAAGAAAGCATACAAAATTGTATAGATATGTGAGTGAAAAACTTTGTTTAAAAAATAAATAAAGATGATATTAATCGCCTTTATTCATTTCTAATTATTTTTCGACGAAAATAAATAGTATAAAACTTCAATTCCTATTCTTTGGCAAGATCCATTTCGTTCGAATGAAAGCATTTATTCATTTCTACTTATTTTTCGTTTCTTGTCAAAAACAAACAATTCTTTTTAAAAAATTATTCTTTGCAAGATACATTTTCGTTCAAATGAAAGTATTTATTTATTTCTAATTTATTTTCGTTTCTTGCTAAAGATGAAAAATATATAAACAATAAGCATATAAAAATTTTTACTAGGATTTTACTTATCATAATTCTTCATACATTCTTGACAAATATTAATAATATCTTTATTACTTGAAATACAGTACTAACCCAAGATTCTTTTAATAACGGCACCTGTTTGAGTAATATATTTGATAGAAGTCTAATTTATATTCGATTACGTCTTGTTAAGGATTATTGGTTAACATGAACATAAATTTTCATATAAACTAAAGCACACCAACCATTTTTGAACAAGCATTCGAACGAAAATTTAAAATCGTTGACATTGTTGTTATAACAATCGTAAAATGATCATTATATGATACAGAAATAGCTTATATATTTTATTATATGAATCATGCCAAATCAATAACCTACTGAAAAATCATTTGGCAATTTTTTACAGGTGTCCCAGAAATTATGATAATAGCTGTAAGTATCTTTTTTTGCATTCTTATATTTTTTTCTTGTTAAGTATAGAAAGAACTATTTCTGGTTTTTGGCATATCTAGAGATGTGACCCAGTCATAAATTTTATATGTAAAAACCAGTTTTTATATATAAAATTTATAATTGGGTCGCATCTCTAGGTATATTTCTGAGAATAGCTAATAATAGACTTTTTAACTATACTGCATATAACATGCATGCATGCATGTATGCATGCAGCATACCATGCGTATATATTATACAAAAATACCATTTTGCCTATTTCTAGTATATACAGTATATATAGTATGTATACACGTACTGTATATATATATAAAATTTAATTAACATTTTATTCTCGTAATTTAAAGATCATTTACTGTTTAGTTGTCTGAAGTATTATTCTGCGCGATGCCTCCTATTTACTTTTCATTCTATTCGCATCAATTAAGATGGTGATTATAAAGATTTAAATTTATGAAAACAGTATTTATTATTACATTCAGGGCTTAAGACACTATAGTAATATGCTGATCATTTAATGTGCTAATGCTTATTGTTTAAAGGGTCATTTTCAATTTATTAAAGAATCATTAAATGATGATATACAAGAATGACAATTGCTAAATGGCTGAGATATTACTATATAGTAATATCTTAAGCTCTGATTACATTCTATTCATTTTAATTAGGAGTATAATTATTGACTATTTAAAGGATTCAAAATAAGCAATTTCAACTTCATAAATACTTAATAATATAGTATTACATAATGCCTTTAATTTCATTCTATCTGTGCGTCAATTGCTTATCGGAAGCTACTGTTATTTATATATCTGAAATACTGTATAAAATAAGCTATTCAAGTTTATGATATAAGGTCACAGCTTTTTTTTAGATTTAGATTAGGCTTTAGGGTTGGATTTAATATTAGCCATGATATTTAATAAACTTATCTTTTTAAATACATGTCTCAAATCTGTATCAGGTTATGTTGATCACCGAATCGAAAGAGATTAAGTGCAGATTTTAATTTACTTTATATTCAATATTTAGTTATACCCATATATCTAAAATTTCGTGCTGAAAACTTTTGTTTAGAAGTCAAACCACGGTTATCATTGAGTTATTTACGAATTTTCTGTTTTCTTAATGAGAAGATAGAAATTCGTAAATACCGTATTTTTATGAAATAACACGCAGGGGTGTAATTTCAAATTTTGGCCCAAATTAAGCTTAATTCGGGCCATTGTTCTAAATAATGCTCATGAGCGTTATTATACAAAAATACGGTAACTCAAGATTTTACTATGATAACTGTAGTTTGACTTCTAAACAAAAGTTTTTTTAGCATGAAATTTTAGGTATATGAGTATAACTAAATATCACTTAATCTCTTTCGATTCGGTAATCAATATAAGAGCTATACATATCCCTTAAATTGTAACACAGGCAAATTTGCCTGTGTTTTTATTAAAAAGTTTAATTTTTTTAATAAAAACTT